TTGTACGAGTTTGAAAGTTCTGAAGAATAAACAAACTATTCTGCTAATCGGCCGGCCTTTTCTTTCACTCGTGCAAACACCTGGAACACGAACGTTTGCATTTACTCGGAAGCATATCTAACACACACACAAACGGTCGGCAAACGTAGGTCCCTAGTGTGAGGTAAAAAGAAACTAAAAAACTAAAAAAACACTTATATAATTACGCAGTTGTCGCTTGCTGCATGGGACGGTTTGTGTGTGGCTATTGAAACAAGGGCTAGATGAAAACAATAAGATTTTAGGAGAAATGTTGGGATACTATCTCGTCCGGCAGCTGTTAAACCTGGAACCATTTTGAGGTGTTTCATCACTGTTGCCACAGACACAGAAAATAAGACTCTTAGTGGTAAGGAGATTTCGTGTGATGGGAAGTAGGAGTCAGTGGGAGGGTCGATACATATTTTTATTTGAACATTTTATATCAGCATCCGCATTTGACAAATAGCCTGTGAGAAAAGCAATATTCTTTCAAAAAGGAGAGAGGAAACAAAGATTTTAAAGAAGGAGCTAGTCCTTCGGCCTAAAAATTTTTCACCGTCCATCAGTGTGTTACGTAGACCTTGGTAATAAAAGATTTTCTTTTTGTGTCTGTCAGGTGTAACTGGAACGATGTCAAGGAAAAATAAAAGCTGTAAGGTTGCCCAAACATTTTTTTGGACGTTTGATTGGTCGAGCACGCAGGAAGGTTCTCAAAGATACCAATTTGAAGCAAGCAAATATTCAGGAAAGACGTGTTGCGTACCTTGAATGTCTCCTCTGGTTTAGCTACCAGTGCTTGCTTAGGGCTGGAATAGATATTTGAGAGGGCAAATGACAGAGAGTGGTCTCTTTTAGAATACGCAGCTCTGTTTTTGACAGCAAAGCGCTCGGGAAAATTGGACAGAATGTGCTAAAGGTGGCTGTCAGCGCAAGTAGTAAAGGAAACCAGATCATCAAATGTAATGGGACGTCGATTCTCACGGTTAAACTGACCGCATAAAATAATAACATGTTCACAGGTCAACTTTGCAGGTTTAAGGGAAGGAGAGAAAACAAGACAGACTAAAGCAGCCCTGTCTGCATAGGGGTGTATGTACATTCTTACCTAAGTAATGCCTTGAAAATTTCATATCAATTGGACTTTTCAGACGGCAGCGATAATGTCGATCAAGTCGTCCCAGTAAGTGAATAGGGATTTCTTAGGGAGGTTTGGCAGATTTGCTTAATTTAGTTAACCCAATTGTGAACTGTGTAGGAATTTACGGCTTATGCACAATTCCTGGTTTACTAAAGCAGCTTCTCCTATAGCTCCACTGCTCAACGATGATTTTCTGCCCAAAAGAGGTGTAATATTTTGCAATCCAGTAGCTGTGTTGAACCAAGTCTCCAGCAGACATATATCTT